TGAAAAAAGAAAGGTGGAAGGGAAAGCATAGTATACCCGTAAAAAAAACATCCTTAGGAAACCTAAGAGGTGTGTATCTGTGTGTGTGTGTGTGTGTGTGTGTGTGTGTGTGTGTGTGTGCTTCATAGACCAGAGCACAAAATTCTTGTAAAACTGTATTTTGTTCTTACAGAAAAGGAGAAAAAAAAAGGCAGCAGGAAGCCAATTTTGCTTTGATTCTAAGGAAAAAAAGAAAGGGAATTGCCTAGAGAGTCAACCTGTTATAAGAAATGCCCTTAAGGCATCAAAAGCCCACTGAAGACTATTACTCTTGACTTGCACATACAAATACTAGGTACCCCCAGAAATCCTCTCTCTTCCTTTCAATTTCTATAAATTGTAGCAGGTGTTGCTGAGTGAGGGGAATGGAGAAATGGAATGTGTGGATAGATAGCTGCTTAAATACAGGAAGACCTGGATTCGTGTCCTGCCTCTGATACACACTGGTTTGTGTGTGGCCCTGAGTAAGACACTTAACTTCCTAGTGCTCTAGGCAGTCCTCTAAAGATTATAAATTGCAGAGAAGGTACAGTAATTATAAAGGAGTTCTAAATTTGAATTGTGAGACTTATGTTGTTCACAGGAGTGGACAACATATCAACTAAAGGAAATCATGCCACCTATTACTAAGATACAGTACTTCTGTCCCTAGAATCTATTTAATTTAGGAAAGGAACTTGCATAAAACTTTACTGTGTTAGGTTCTAGTCATCTGTGACATGCATTTTTGATTACATGTTTGCTATTTTGAATAAAAATAATATACCAGTATACTTTATAGCTAGTCCAGCACAATAATGCTATTCATCAGTGATATTTGACAAATTCACTGTTGTTGTTTAGTCATTTTCAGTTGTGTTTGACTCCTCATGACCCAGTTTGAAGTTTTCTTGGCAAAGATACTGGAATGGTTTGCCAACTTATTTTACAGATAAAGAACTGAGGCAAATGGGATTAAAAGACTTGCCCAGGGTCATACAACTAGTAAGTGTCTGAGGCTAGATTTGAACTCAGGAAGATGAGTCTTTTTTACTTCAGGCCTGGCACTCTATCCACTATCTATGCCATCTAGCTGCTCAAATATACTAAATTACATTGTGGTATATTAATTGTGCTAAGAGTAAATAAAGAAACACAGAAAGCAGATTAAAAATATTGCAGCATAGATCAACAAACTCAAACTTCTTGCTAAATAAATATTTTAAATCATTTTTAATATTTTTATTATTTTTAAACACTTACTTATTTTTAGTTTTCAACATTCACTTCCACAAGATTTTAAGTTCCAAATTTTCTTCCCATCTCTCCCTTCCCCCTACCCCAAGATGGCATGCATTCTGGGTATTCCCTTTCCCCTAATCTGCCCTCCCTTCTATCACCCCCTCCCTTCTCTTATGCACTTCCCCTTCTATTTTCCTGTAGGGCAGGATAGATTTCTATACCTCATTGCCTGTATTATTTCCCAGTTGCACGTGAAAACAATTTTTTAATATTTATTTTTAAAACTTTGGGTTCCAAATTTTCTCCCTTCCTTCCTCCCCACCCACCCTCATTGAGAAGGCAAGCAACCTGATACAGGTTATACATGTGTAGTCATGTGAAACACTTCCATAGTAGTTATGTTGTGAAAGATTAACTATATTTCTCTTCATCCTATCCCACCTACCCATTTATTCTATTCTCTCTTTAAACCCTGTCTTTTAACCCTCAGAAGTATTTGCTTCTGATTACCCCCTTCTCCAATCTGCCCGTCTTTCTATCATCCCCCCAGTCTCTTATCCCTTTCCCCCTTATTTTCCTGTAGGGTAAGATAGATTTCTGTGCCCAATTAAGTGTGTTTTTCCCTCCTTAAGCCAAATCTGATGAGAATAAGATTCACTCATTCCCTCTCACCTACCCCCACTTCCCCTCCACTGTAAAAGCTTTTTATTGTCTGTTTTATGTGAGATAATTTACCCCATTCTATCTCTCTCTTTCTCCTTCTCCCAGTATAATCCTCTCTCACCCTTTCATGTTATTTTTAGGTATCACCCCTTCATCTTCAACTCACCCTGTGCCCTCTATTTATCTCTCTATATATACATACATATAATTTTTTCCCTCCAACTACTCTAATACTGACAAAGGTCTCATGGGTTATAAATACCATCTTTCCATGTAGGAATGTAAATAGTTCAATTTTAATAAGTCCCTTATGATTTCTCTTTCCTGTTTACCTTTTCATGCTTCTCTTGAGTCTTGTATTTGAAAGTCAAAGTCTTCTATTTCACTGAATGTCCATTTTTTCCCCTGAAGGTTTATACTCAGTTTTGTTGGGTAAGTGATTCTTGGTTGTAATCTTATCTCCTTTGACCCCCAGAATATTATATTCCAAGCCCTCTGGTTCTTTAATGTAGAATCTGCTAAAACTTATGTGATCCTGATGGTGTTTCCACAATACTTGAATTGTTTCTTTCTGGTTGCTTGCAATATTTTCTCTTTGACCTGGGAGTTCAGGGATTTGGCTATAATATTCCTGGGACTTTTCCTTTTGGGATCTCTTTCAGGAGGTGATTCTTTCCATTTCCATTTTATCTTCTGGTTCTAAAATATCAGGGCAGTTTTCCTTGATGATTTCTTGCAAGATGATGTTTAGGCTCTTTTTTTGATTGTGACTTTCAGGTAGTCCAATAATTTTTAAATTATCTCTCCCAGATCTATTTTCCAGGTCAGTTGTTTTTCCAATGAAATATTCCACATTGTTTTCTATTTTTTCATTCTTTTGGTTTTGTTTTACAATTTGATTTCTCAAAAAGTCATTAGCTTCCATTTGCTCCATTCTAATTTTTAAGGAAGTATTTTCTTCAGTGAGGTTTTGGACTTCCTTTTCCATTTGGCCAGTTTTGTTTTTTAAGACATTCTTCTCCTCAATAGCGTTTTGGACCTCTTTTGTCATTTGGGTTAGTCTATTTTTTAAGGTGTTATTTTCTTCAGTATTTTTTGGGTCTCCTTTAGCAAGTTGATGATTTTCTTGGATCGTTCTCATTTCTCTTCCCAGCTTTTCCTCTACTTCTCTTACTTGTTTCTCAAAATCCTTTTTGAGCTCTTCCATGGCCTGGGACTGATTCCCATTTTTCTTGGAGGCTTTGAATGTAGAAGCTTTGACTTTGTTGTCTTCTTCTGGTTGTATGTTTTGATCTTCTTTGTCATCAAAGTAAGATTCTATGGTCTGACTTTTTTTTTTTGCACTGTTTGCTCATGATCTTAGCCAATTACCTGACTTTTAAACTCTTTGTTAAGGTAGGGATCTGCTTCCAGTGTGGAGAATGCACTGTCCCAAGCTTCGGGGGTTTTGTGCTGCTGTTTTCAGAGATACTTCTAGGGACCTGTAAATTTTCAGTTCTTCCAAGGTGGTATGATCAAGGGTGAGGTGTTTATTCCTTTCCTGGCCTGTGCTCTGGTCTATGAGTGACCACAAGCACTCTTTTCTGCCTTGGAACTATGAGGAGGATTCCCTCTCCACTGCCACCACAAGTTGCACCATGCCAGTGCTCCTCCTTGCCCCAGGACCACCACCCAGAACTTCGACCCAGATCCAAGCATGGGCAAAGCAAGAGAATCCTTCCTCAGCAGCAGCAAACAGATCCCTGCAATCCCTCTCTGATCAGCCCCTCAATCCCCCCTCTGTCCTTGGGCTGAGAGCTCTGGAAGCAGCCACAACCCCAGGGCTGCACCAGGACTAGAATGGGACCAAGCTCCTCTGTCACCGAGGTCCAACAGATATTTCCTACTGACCTTCTAAATTGTCTTTGACATTTGTGGGTTGAGAAGTCTGAAAACTGCCATAACTCCCCTTGATTCAGTCCCCTGAGGACTGTTTCAGGTTTGCTGAGGCCCAGTCTTTGCCAATGTGGCCCACACTAACTGTGCTCTTCTCCCAGCCTGGCACAATAGACCTTTCCAATCAACCATTCAGGTTGTTTTGGGCTGGAAATTTGTTTCACTCTTTTTTTAGGTTCTGCTGCTTTAGAATTTGTTTAGTCATTTTTTACAGGTATTTGGAGGGCTTTAGGGGACAGCTCAAGCAAGTCACTGCTTGGTGATGTAGTGAATAGAGTGCTGGACTTGGAATCAGGCAGATTCATTTTCATGATGACATTTCATACATTGTACAGTACAAAAGCTAGGGGGTATGAATAAAGCTTTAGGGCTTATATTTTAATCAGTGTTTACTTTTTTTCCTTTCTCTCTTTAACAACATAGTTGTAGCAAGGTAGATCACTTTGCATCAACATAATATTTTCTAGACATCCTAGAAAAAAGGTTAAATGACTCTTTATCTGTGCATCACTGCAAAGGCACATAAGCAGATAAAAGTGTTATATTTTGTCATTTGTGAGGAAATGACACCAAATTTGAAGTTTAAGATATGTTCCAAAATTATCTTTCCTGATTTAAGAGATCACTTGCCACAGAACATGCCTGTGTATAGGAGTGTGATAATGTATTTATTATCAGCTAAGTTACTGGGCTGGCCATCCTCACTATTTTCCAGAAGAGTCTCAAGTATTGGGCACAATCTGGTACTGGCACTTTCCTTGTAGAAAAAGTATTTCATAACCTGGATGTGTAATAAATAAAATTCCTGGCTTAGTGATTGAGAATTGTTTTCAAAGTCCTAAGAGACTATGAAATCTCAAAATCTAGAGATGGACAAATTAAAAGTAATTGGTTATGAAAAATAATAAGCAGGATTATAAAGAAATATGAAAAACTAATGACAAAATCCTTAAAGTGATTCCAAACAACTGAGAGATATAACTGTATTTCAAATGAGTATCTGGTTATACATTCTTAACTGTTTACAATTTTTTTTCACTGTGTAAACTGGTAAACAAAGCAATGGAGGAGATGATTTGATTGAAGTCAAGTTGGATAAGCAACAAACAAGAATATATTGTTTTTCCAAATCCAGTGTGCTCTCATCCTGTTTCAGGTAGATCTGCAGAAGTTGCCCAATCATAGATGACCAAAGGAATGCTGATGGTGGAGAATATGATTCCTAATCCTAAGAGAGACATAGCCTGGGAGGAAAATAAAGTACATGTTTTTAGGTAATTTTATTTTTTAATTTAATTTAACTTAATTTATTTTTTAATTTTAGGCATTTTCTTAAAAGAAATATTTTTGATAAAGTAAGAATACTTTCCCTGTTCCCTGATCTTGCTTTTTCCTTGTTAAAATGAAAAGCTGGAAAAAGGATGAGAGCAATTCTGGTCAGGGAAGAAGGAAGGGTGAATAAAGTCAAAAAATACAAAGCAATCAGCTTTTATTGGAAAAGGAAGGTGGCTTGATTAACAGGATTTATGGATAACACGCCTTCACCATTTTAAAATTTAATCTCCACACAATTTGATGCTAAATCAATTGATCAATCTATAAGCATTTATAAATGTTCTAGGTACTATGCTAGGCACTGGGGATACAAATACGAAAAGATAAAACAATTCCTACTCTGAAGGAGCTTACATCCTATAGAGGAGACAACATTTATATAGCTAAATATACACAGAATAAACAAAATAAATACAGGGGAGATGAGGAGGGAGGTCACTAGTAGTTAAAGAAGATCAGGGATGGATTCTATTAGAACTCTTGCATTTTCCCCACTAACTCCTACTGGTCATCTTTAGTAAATCGTTAGCAGCTAGGGGCAGCTAGGTAGCACAGTGGATAGAACACTGGGTCTGGAGTCAGGATGATCTTAATTCAAACTGGGGCTTAGACACTTACTAGTTCTTTGTGACTCTGGGCTAGTCACTTAACCCTTATTTTCCCCATCTGTAAAATGGGGATACATTAGAAAAAGAGATGGAAAACCACTTCATTATATTTGCCAAGAAAAACCCCATTATCTATGGGGTCACAAAGAGTGGGACATGACTGAAAGACCCAACAACAAGAAGTCGCTTGGGATCTAGCTACAAGTCTCTTATTTTATCAAGTGCAGATAATGTTTTTCAAATCCATGTGAAAATATGTACTATTAATTTATTTTGAATAGCAGTATAGATTCATTCAAAGAAGCTAGCCCTGTGCTCATTTTGTGACAACTATTGTCTCAGGTAACACATGTAGTCACCATGTTTACACTAGTTGGAAAAGAACCTGAGAAACCTTTCTCAGGATAACAAAAATGGTGCTCTAGAAGCTATTCATTGTAGCAGCCACTGCACACTTGCTGTCCTTACTGTCTAGTCCCCAAGTATAAGAAATTCAAGATGCCATTGAACTTAATCAGATTTGGAAACAAGCTTCCCGAATATAGAAAAGTAGTTTCAGAATCCAGGCCTGGATTCACACAAAGCACTTTTGTCAATCTACTTCCTTAAATTTTTAAGGATCTGTAGTCTTATCAGCGTGGGCATTTCTTCTACCGATGAAGATCATAATATCTTTGCACTTTAGTGGACAGTTTCCTTAAGTTGCCATGGCTAGAATAAAAACATAATGGCCAATCATCTGAATTTACAAGCCTGTCCTTAGACAACAATCATTCATTCCTTTACTTGTCTGTATTTACATTCTTTCCAGATTGGCAGCACCTGCCTGTCAGAACTTGTGCTCTCCTAGCAGAGCCTTTTAATAGCCAGTGTCATCTTCATGCCACAATCAGGCATCAAAGTATGGATTTACTGATAGTTGTCTTATTTATTTACCATAGGAAGATTGTTTTAACTAATTAATATATTTCATTTAAGTCATATAACTTTATGTTCTTTTGGCTGTATGAGGTATCCTTATGGAGATAGCTTGGCCTAAAGTTTGTTTAGAACTATTTATTGCCCTATAGATACACAAAGAGTTGTAACTAACGTGGATGCTTTCCCTATAATGTAAGTTAAATCTGATAAACATTTTCTGAGGGAACTGAGAAGAATAATGTTCTATTTTAACTTGACTAATCAGTGCTGTGCATCCCATCAAGGCAATAGTAATTTACAACGTATTTGCAGTATGACTATATATTTTCCAAACTAATTGTTTGGTAAGTTTTAATGATGTACAAAATGAAAATATAAATAAATAGCAGCCATAAAACATACCCCAAGTCTTTCATTTTTTTTGTCACTATCCTGGCTTGTGATTTTTAAAAACAGAATTGTAGGAATAATGAAGATCAACATATTGGCAGTTGTTGTCCCTATAAAGTGATAAAAAAAAAAACCAGTTTTCTGTTATTATGGAATGTAAACTCCCTAGAAGTTGCTATTGAACAATTAATATAAAATTGCCATATTGTACCCAGGACTCCAAAAATGTCTTTCATGGTGGGTACGCAGATTACCAAAAGGTCAACCAAACCTAAGATTACCACAGCAATCACAATACGTTCACCTAAATTGAAATATGCTTTCTTAAGTAGTTCAGCCAGAGATTCACGAGACTGTAGGAAAAGAAAGCAAAGAATTCTGTCAGTACATAGCATACAACATTCAAATATTTTCTACAATGCATAAACTGTTACACTTGTGGAATCTCAGAATTATGGAATATCAGAGTTAGAAGGGACCTCAGAAGTCATCTGAGCCTATGTCTGAACAGATCTCTCCTTTATAGCATCTTTTACAAGTGATCATTTGGCCTTTTCTATTTTTTCCTTTTTTATTAATTAATTTTAGTTTTCAATATTCACTTCTATAAGATTTTGAGTTCTAAATTTTTCCCCTTTCCAAGACAGCATCCAATCTGATATAGCCTATATATGTACAATCGTATTAAGCATATTTCCACATCAGTCATGTTGTGAAAGAAGAATCAGGGGAAAAACACAAGAAAGAAAAAACAAAAAAAAGAGAAAATAGTATGCTTCAATCTGCATTTAGACTCTGTAGTTCTTTCTCTGAATGTGGATAGCATTTTCTAACATGAGTCTTTTGGAATTGTCTTAGATCATTGCATTGCTCAGAAGAGCTATCTATGAATGTAGCTCATCACACAATGTTGCTGTTACTGTATACAATGTTCTTCTGGTTCTGCTCACTTCACTCAACATCAGTTCACACAAGTCTTTCCAGGTTTTTCTGAAGTACATCTACTCATTTCTTATGGAACAATAGTACTCCATTACATTTATATACTACAACTTGTTCAGCCATTCTCCAATTGATGGGCATCCCCTCAATTTCCAATTCTTGGCCACCACAAAAAGAGCTGCTGTAAATATTTTTATACATGTGAGTCCTTTCCCCTTTTTTATCATCTCTTTGGGATATAGAACTAGTAGTAGCATTGCTGGATCAAACGGCAGTCACAGTTTTATAGCCCTTTGGGCATAGTTTTTTCCTGTTTTCTCATGTTAGCCAATCTAATGAGTGTGATGTGGTATCTCAGAGTTGTTTTAATTTGCATTTCTCCAATCAAAAATGATTTGATTTGACTATATTTGATTTGACTTCCTATGACTCTAGATAGCTTTAATTTCTTCAACTGAAAATTGCTTGTTCATATCCTTTGACCATTTATAAATTGAGGAATGACTTATACTCTTACAAATTTGACTCAGTTTTCTATATATTTTAGAAATGAAGCCTTTATCTGAGACACTGGATATAAAAATTATTTCTCAGTTTTCTGCCTCCCTTCTCTTGTGTGCATTGGTTTTGTTTGTGCAAAATCTTTTTAATTTAATGTAATCAATATTATCCATTTTGTATTTCATAATGTTCTCTGTCTCTTGTTTGGTCATAAATTCTTCCCTTATCCATAGATCCGACAGGTAAACTATTCCTTGATCTCCTAATAGTATCACCCTTTTTGTCTAAATCATGCACCCTTTTTGATCTTATCTTGGTATATGGTGTGAGATGTTGGTCTGTGCCTACTTTATGCCATACTATTTTCCATTTTTCCCAGCATTTTCACCAAATAGTGAGTTCTTATCCCAGAAGCTGGAGTCTGAGGGTTTATCAAACTGTAGATTACTGTATCTTGTGTACCTAACCTATTCCATTGATCCACTGCTCTATTTCTTAGCCAGTACCAATTAGTTTTGATGACTGCTGCTTTATGATACAGTTTTAGATCTGGTACATCTAGGCATTTGGCCTTTTCTTGATAACCTCCAGTGATAGAGAAGGGGAGTCCATTTCATTTTGGATTCTATTTGTTAGGAAGTTTTAATAGACATTGAGCCAAAATTTATCTCTTTTTGTATCTTTTCCATATGACAATCATTTAAATTCATGAAGAATAGCTGTCATGTTTCCCCTAAGTTTTTTATTCTCTAGGCAACATATCCTTAGGTCCTTCAATCAATCCTCATATGGCATAGTGTCTAGTCTTGCCACTCTAGCTGATAGGACAAATTTCACTTTTCAGGATAACACTCTGACTTGTCTGACTTGTCCTCCTAAAATGTAGTATTCAAAATTGAACACTAATCTTTAGATTTGGTTTGCCTAGATCATAATATAATAAAACTACCACCTCTCTAGAAATAATATTGCTCTGTAACTTACAATCATTTTCACTTTCTTTTGGCTGCCCTTAACTCTGCTGACTTGCATTGAGTTTGCAGTACACTAAAACACCTATATATCTTACTAACCATACTCTTATTCTTATGAATTTGATCTTTTGAATCTAAGTCTGGAACTTTGCTTATATCTCTATTGAATGTCATCTTATTGGTGAATAGGATTCTGCCTATCATTATAGCCAAAAATATCCTTTTGGGTCCTGATTGCCATTCAATATGTTAATTATCCATACATCTTTTTTCATCATTAAATAAATGAACACAGTGTCTTTGCTTTCATCCAAACTTTTGGTAAAAATATTGACGAGCATCACACCAGATGCCAGATGGACAGACTCACTGAAAGAGTGCAACAGAGAATTTCTCCTCTAGATTTAAAGCAAGCAATTAACCATTTATTTTGTTAACTTTAATCTAATCTTATTTCATAGTAGTTGTGAAGGTTGTTAACAATTTCATATTAGTTGTTATGTCTTTTAAGATAATCTTATAAGTTATTTTTTTTAATGTCCATGGATACTCAAAGAAGGTAGGAAATGTACATTTATTTTCAAAATCTTTCCATTATTTTGAAGGTCATAGCCTAGTTTTTCAATCTGTGAAATAATAGTGATAACAACCACAATAACAATTTCAACAGATTTTAGAGTCCTAAAGAGTCTCTAGAACAAAGGATATCTAATAAACTATGAATCAAAATATTCTTGAGTTGGGCATAAAAAAATTAAGTATGTTTTGTTCCAAGTTTTTTACTATTTATTTACTATTATTACTATTTTACTATTTATTTACTATTTTACTATTTATAAAGTTAACAAGTCTACAAGCATTATTAAGCACTTATTAATTATTTTAATTAAGTGATGAAGACACAAATACGAAAAAGATAGTCCCTCATGCCTTTAAAATATTTTTATTATTTATTTCTTAAATTTAATTTTTTAATCAATGAAGTCCTGCTTTCTCTCCACTCTATCTCCTTTTTTTCCCTCACCATTGAAAAAAGCAAGAAAAACAAAACACTGATAATAAACATGTATAGCCAAGGAGAACAAATTATTGCATAGGTGATTTCCAAAAGAAAGTATGTCTCATTCTGCACTCTGGGTCCATCACCTCTGTATTTGGAGATGGGTAGCATATTTCATCATGAGTCTTCTGGAATAGTAGTTGGTTATTGCATTGATCAGAGTCCCTAAGTCTTTCAAGGTTGCTTGTCTTTACAATATTGTTGTTTTTTAAAATTATTTTTATTTCATTAAATATTTCCTAATAGTACATAATTTTTTTAGGAATTTCCAGGAATGGAGCTAAGAGGGTAGAGTAGAGAATGTGCTCAGCTGATCTGAACTCTCTCTACATTCCCCTCCAAACAACTTTAAAATAATGCCTCAAATTGAATTCTGGAGTGGCAGAGTTAACAAAAGGTCAGAGGGAAACATTCTTCCAGCCCAAGACAACATAGGAGATTAGAAAGAAAGATCTGTGACGTGGAGGAGGAGGCTGACCTGGAGCCCAAGTGGATGATACACCAGTGGTGGAACTAGGTGTTGGCAACAGAAGCAGCAGCAGATTCAGGTCTTCTCAGGCCAGAGATGGTAAGGAGACCTGGCAACTGCTCAGAGATGACAGGGGACTTCTGTCTCCTGGACATAGACCAGATGCTATTTGGCAACTCCATTGTTTATATCCACTTCTAGGTCATTGTTGAAGGGTGGAGAGAAGCATTTTCTGTCAAGAGGGAGCAGGAATCCTGAAGGGCAATTGTTTGGCAACTCCATTGCTTACTTCTGAGTCATAACTTGAGGGTAGAGATGAGCACTTTTGGTAAAGAGGGAGCAGAAGTCCCTGGGGGCCCTAAAGAACAGCATCATTTCCAGTCCCAATGGAGGGGAGACCTGGAGTAGTAGTATTGATTGCGATCCTGACATGATAGAGACCCTTTGTGGGTAAGGTCCACAGTGCATACCAGACAAGCAGGACTACATTTCTCCCTAGATCACATCACCTTGGAAGGACCAAAAATTTTCAACCTCCCAAAACTAACTCTGAAAATTGCAAAAAAAAGTCTAGAGCTTGGAGCAGTGCTCCTACTCCTGCCCATATGCAGAGAACAGAGTTAAACTTTAAGATAAAGTTTAAAGTTAAGAAATAGGCTGGAAAAATGCACAAACGACAACAAGAACTTGACTTTACTGTAAAAAACTACCGTGGTGACAGGGAAGATCAAGATACAAATTCAGAAGACAATGAAATCAAAACAGCTACAAGCTAAGTCTCAAAAAATGTGAATTGGATACAAGCCCAAAAAGAATTCTTGGAAGGGCTTAAAAATTTTGATTTTCAAAAGGAAATAAGAGTGGTAGAGGAAAACATGGGTAAAAAATTACAGCAAAGGAATAAAATTATGAAAAGATAATTAACAGCTTGATAAAGAGGACACAAAAATACTGAAGAAAATAACATCTTAAAAACAGAACTGGCTGAATAGAAAAAGAAGTCCAAAAATTTACTGAAGATGAGATCTCTTTAAAAAGCAAAATTGGTCAAGTGGAAAAAGAGATACAAAATTTCATAGAAGAAAATGATTAGAATTGGGCAATTGAAAGCTAATGAATCTGTGAGATACCTAGCAAGAATAAAACAAAACCAAAAGAATGAAAAAATAGAATAAAATGTAAAATATCTCACTGGAAAACATCTGAACCAGAAAATAGAACAAGGAGAGAGAATTTCAGAATTATTGGATCAACTGAAAGCCGTGATCAAAGAAAGATGCTAGACATCATATTTCAAGAAATTGTTAAGGAAAATTGCCCTGATATCCTCAAACTAAGAGGTTAAAAAATCAAAGAATCTGCTGATTACCTCCTGAAAGAGATCCCAAAATGAAAACCCCCAGCAATATTATAGCCAAATTTCAGAGCTCCCAGGTCAAAGAGAAAATACTTCAAGTAGCCAGGAAAATAAAACTTTCTAACAATGTGGAGCCATAGTTAGACTTATACAAGATTTAGCAGCTACCACATTAAAGAAGTGAAGGGCTTGGAATCTGATGATCTGGAAGGCAAAAGAGCTGGGATTACAATCCAGTATAATCCTTCAAGGGAAAAATGAATATTTGATGATGAAAAGAACAGAGCTATATAGAAATTTGACTTTGAAATACAAGACTCAAGAGAAGCATAAAAAGATAAACATGAAAGAGAAATCATAAAGGACTCAAAATATTAAACTTTGCCTTTATATAAGGGAGTATGAAACTTGTATCTTCTAAGAACCTTACTATTCTTAGGGCAATTAGGAGGATTCTACACAGAAGGATGATGCAAGAATGAATAGATTATGTTTGGATGATGTAAAAAAATGGATGGGTGAGAAAGAGGGATGCCCTGGAAGAAGGAGGAAGAGAGAGAAAAAATGGGGGAAAATTATCTCATATAAAAGAGGTGCACAAGGAAGAGTTTTTACATTGGAGAGGAAAATAGGATGGGCCTCATTTGCATTTAAATTGGTTCAAAGAGAGAAAATATATATACATTCTCAACTCATAATAGAAATCTATCTTACTCAGTACCCTGCTGGGGTAGGGAGGAAAGGTAAGGAGATGAGAAAAAAGAGGGGAGGGGATTGATAAAAGAGAGGGTAGATAAAAGAAAGTAGTGGTCAGAATCAAAACAGACTTGAGAGAAAGGACAAGACAAAAAGAGAAAGATAAACAGAAAAAAACAGGATGGAAGGAAATGCACAATTAGTAATCACAACTGTAAAAGTGAATGGGATGAACTCACCCATAAAATGGAAGCAGAGAGCAGAATGGATTAAGAAACAAGAATCCAACAATATGTTGTTTACAAGAAACACTTGAAAACAGAGAGACACATGGAGAGTAAAAATAAGGGGCTGGCGCAGAATCTATTATGCATCAGCTGAAGTGAAAAAAGGTAAGGGTAGTAATCATGATCTCAGATAAAGCAAAAGCAAAAATATACCTAATTAAAAGAGATAATCAGGGAAACTATATTTTGCTAAAAGGAAATATGTAATATCAATTCTGAACATATACACACCAAATTAAAAATTAATTGAATTACAGGAGGAAATAAACAATAAAACTATACCAGTGGGGAACCTCAACCTTCCCCTATTAGAGCTAGATAAATCTAAAACCATAAAATAAATAAGAAAAGTCAAATAGATGAATAGAATTTTAGAAAAGTTTTACATGATAGGCCTCTGGAAAATATCTCTCCTTGATCTATTTTCCAGATCAATTGTTCTTCTGATGAGATATTTCATATTTTCTTCCTTTTTTGTTTTTTTCCCTTTGCTTTATTGTTTCTTGATGTCTCATGGAGTCATTAGCTTCCACTTGCCCAATTCTAATTTTTAAGGAATGTTTTTGTTCATTGAGGTTTTTAACCTGTTTTTCCATTTGGCCAATTCTACTTCTTAAGGAATTATTTTCTTCAGCGAATTTTTGTATATCTTTTTCCATTTTGCCAATTCTGCTTTTTAAGGCATTCTTCTCTTCAGTGGATGTTTGTACCTCTTTTACCATTTGGCCAATTCTGTTTTTTTACAATGTTATTTTTTTTTTCAGTATTTTTTGTGCCTCTTTTTATCAAGCTGTTGACTCTCTTTTCATAATTTTGTTGAATCATTCTCATTTCTTTTCCCAATTTTTCCTCTACCTCTCTTATTTGATTTTTAAAATCCATTTTGAGCTCTTCTAGGAATTTTTGTTGGGGTTGTATCCAATTTAGATTTTTCTTTGAGGCTTTGCATGTAGCTACTTTGATATAGTTGTTTTCTTTTGGGTTTGTGTCTTGATCTTCACTGTCATCTTTAATAACTTGTTATGGTCAGGTTCTTTTTTGTTGTTGTTTGCTCATTTCCCCAGCCTCTTTCTTGACTTTTAACTCTATGTTCAAGTTGAGGTCTGCTCCCAGGGTGAAGGGGCCATTGTACCAAAGTTCAGATCTTTCTTGCTGCTGTTTTCAGTGTTAGCTCAGGGCGTCTATAGCTTTTCAGTGCTTCCAAAGTGGTATGATCTAAGGAGAGGTGTGATTAGTTATCTCCTGGCTTGTGCTCTGGGCTTTACCCAGGAAGGGATCTTGTTGCCCTATATCCACCAGCACTAGCACTCCTCCTGGCCCTGAGTCTACGACCAGGGACCCTGCTTTGCTGCAACCAGAATTGCTAGTGCTCCTCTCTATCTTGCATTGAGGCCAGAGCTCCTATGCCCCTGTGAGTGACCACAAGCACTCCTCTCTCACCTGGAACTATGCCTGGGGTCCCTGCTCCCTTATGGCCACAAGTGCTATCACTCCTTTTGGCCCTGGGACTGGAATGGGAACTGTGTATGGGCAAATGCAACAAGTCCTGAACCCAGTGCCAGCAAAAAGTCCCTTGCAATCTCCTTCCAATCACTTGTCCAACCCCACCCCCTTTCATGTCCATGGGCTGAGAGCTACCAAAGCTGCTGTTGCTGCTTAGTATTTCTCATTGTTTCATGGAGTCAACAGCTTTATTTGCTCCATTCTAATCTTTAGGGAGTGTGCTTCTTGGATAAAATTTTTGCCAAGCTATTAATTCTTTTTCCAACTCTTTTTTCCATAAAACTTTCACTTCTTTTTCAATTTTTTTCCCTCTAGCACTCTCATTTGATTTTGAAAATTATTTTTAACACCTATTTTAAATCCTTGTTTCATTTCTTCTGAGAATTCTGGTTAAACTTGTAACAAAGCTATGTTTTTATTTGGGGTTTTATTTGCAGATATTTTGGGGTCCTTCTCTTCTTCTGGATTTACGGTTGTCATAATCACTCTTTAAGGTAGAATTCTCCTTCTCCCCCCCAATTTGGTAATTCTTTCCGTCAGCCTGATTTCTGACTTCAGATTTTATGTTAGGGCTAAGCACTTCAACCAGGGTTGGGGAATCTGTGGCTTTGAGGCCACACGTGGCCACTTCTGTGAAGTCTAGATTCAGTCAAATGGCCACATTTGAGGAGCTAGAGAGCCATATGTGGCCTTGATGCTGTAGGTTCCCCATCCCTGCACACAGTTCTGGAGGGAATATCTAGGTTAAGTTTTTATCCTATTGGATCCTTGCTGCTTTCTTAAGAGTATTAAGTGTCACATTATTCTAGGATCTCAGGGACAGCTGGGGACCTACAAGCTTTCAGTCTTCCCAAAGTAGTCTAATCTTAGGCATAGTATGATCACTGCTCTCATAGTTGGACCTCTGCAAGTCTCTGACCTAGTTTTGGGTCTGAGGAGCACAACTGTGGGCTCGTCTTTCATCGGATTTCCGTTAGACTAATTGCTGGATTAAGTCAGTATCAGCCAGCTGGAAAATTCTGCTGGTTCTGAGTTGCAGAACTGAAGGCTTTTGTGATTCCTTTCCTGGTTATTCCGTTTAAGGCTTCAGACTTGACTGGAAACTGGAACTGAGACCTCTCTCCACTCCTGGGATCAGAGTTATACAATTGTTACTTGTTTTTGAACCTCCTTTTTTCTTAGCACTCAACCTAAAGCCTACAACCAATCCTGTTCTTGGAACTGTACCCCAAGGAGTATATCCCTTCTTTAATCTGCTCTGCATAAATAACCAAAATGAGTAGTGATCAACCAAGCTGCCAATTGCCACCCCTTCTTCATCTCACAGAGCTGTGTCTCTTCATGTTGATTTGGAACCTTTTCTTGCCCTAGCGCTCTGCATGATGTGCTCCTGGTTAGTCCCCTGTCCTCAGTGTCTGCAGCCCTTTCTATCTGTCTCCATGTGCCAACCTGGGCTGGAAAAATTACAATGATTTTTTTCCTTTGATTTCCTGGTCAGAACTTAGTCTGGAATATTTTCTAAATCTTTGTAGAATTGTGTTAAAGTTGACTATACTTTTTCTAGCTACTCCAATGTCTTGGCTCTGCTCCTATTAATTATTGTTATATATAGCTCAAAATTAGTGATTTGAGAGTGGATTGTCTTAAGACTAAAGGCATCTTTGTTTATAAATGTTTGTGGGAGTAGGTAAATAGATATTTATTTTCCCTGAATACCAAATTTAAAACTTATTTCTCTTTTATTCTTTCCATTTTTGTCTTATTATTTGTGACCTTGGATCTAATTACTTTATGCAATAAAGTTACTATTAAATAGAGAATAGACAGAATATTAGAACTATCATCTATTATAGAGCAAACTTATTATCTACCACTTTTGTTTTCCCAAATAGACTTAAACGCCCTTAGGACCCTTTATCTGTTATAGTTTCAATGGCCTAGGAACCTTACCCAATGTGGCTTCTCTTGGCAATTTCCTAAATATAGATGGAAAGGTAATACCTTTGCTTTTCCCAGATTGCACACGACTTTAACTTACTGTGAGAAATAATACTGGAATTGTGAGGGTGACTGCCATCATTACTGACAATCGAACTATTAGGATGAGAATATCGTCATCTGGGTATTTATGAAGCAGACTTGAATGTACCTTACCTAAAAAGGAAAAAATGAGACAAATATTTTTAAAAGAGACAAGTCATTCACATCACTTTATACCTTTTCCTGAAAAACTAGTGATTTAGAAGCAAACAACAGGGCAGGGAATTAAACAATTTGAACTTGGAAGATAATTTTTAACCCTATGAAGACTAATTATCAATGAAAGAGACTCTATTATTTAAACAAATAAGATTTTAAGGGCTATTTGGAAATTTACTTCCATTTAAAGTAATCACTGAAAGAAATCACATAGAGGTGGGAATATACGAACTGAGGATTATAAAGAAAAGTTTTACTAAAAAACAATAAACTGGTATTTTTAAGTGGGTATTTCCTCTTGTCCACGGGTTTTTCTTGGAAAAGATACTAGAGTGGTTTGCCATTTCCTTTCCAGTGTGCCTCTATTTCAGAGTTGAGGAACTAAAGCAAAGAGGGTTAAGTTATTTGCCCAGGGTCACACAGATAGTGAGCATCTGAGGCTAGATTTGAATTCAGAAAGATGAGTCTTTCTGACTTCAGGCCCGGCATTCTATATGCTGTGCCACCTACTTGCCCAATGACTACCTCAGTTTAGATCAAAAGACTCTAAGATGGAGATGCTGACACAGTCCCATCTTAGCCCATCTTTGCCCAATTAAAAGTGGTCTTATCTCGTTTCCAGGAGCTAGTAAATCTACTCTCCCTGGTGCACTATCAATAGCCTCATGAAGCATCTGGGTCCCATAAATCAATAAAGTATTCCTCTAAGACAGAGAGGGATGATCTTGTCTTCACATGTGTTTGCCCATTTTCCTTAATGTAACCAATCAGTTGTCCTTATCTCCTTGATACTGCCGAACCTGTAACCAATTATATTATTTCTTTTCTTATCCTGCTCTGTTCTTTGTTCTATGGGTATAGATGGTAAGGGGGTTGAACAGCTGGTCAGAAGGAGATTACAGGGGTGTCTTTGCTAGCACTGTGGCAAGACTCTGTTGCTTTGCCCATACTTGGATCTGGGTTGCAGTCTTGAGTGGCAGTCCCAGGGTGAGAAGGAGCACACCACATTAGAGTTTGCAACTGCAGTGGAGTGGAGACCATCCTCACAGTTCTAAGGCAAAAAACAATTCTGAGGTACTACCTCATACCTCTTAGATTGGCTAATAGGACAGAAAAGGAAAACGACAAATGTTGGAGGGGATGTGGGGAAAAATGAGACATTAATGAATTATTGGTGGAGTGAGCTCATTCAGCCATCCTGTAGAGCGATTTGGAAGTATGCCTAAAGGGCTATAAAACCACAAAACCCTTTGGCCTGGCAATACCACTGCTAGGTCTGTATCCCAAAAGAAATTTTACAAAAAGGAAAAGCACCTATATGTGCAAAAATATTTATAACAGCTCTTTCCTGGTGGCAAAGAATTGGAAATTGAGAGGATGCTCACCAATTGAGGAGTTGCTGAACAAATTTTGGTATGTGATTATGATGAAATATTATTGTGCTATAAGAAATGATGTGCAAGATTCTCTCAGAAAAACCTGGAAAGATTTACATGAGTTGATGGAAAGTGAATGTACTGTGTACAAAATAACAGCAATACTTGAGGATATCAGCTGTGAATGAATTAGTTATTCTCAGCAATACAATGATCCAAGATAACCCCAAAGGGCTTGTGATGAAAAATGCTATCCATCCCCAGAGAAAGAAGTTACGGTGTCTAAATACAGATCAAAACATATTTTTAACTTCATTTTTCTCGAAGTTTTTTTTTTGTTCTATGTTTTCTTTCACAACTAATATGGAAATATTTTGTATGATTAAATATGTATAACCTATATAGAATTGCTTGCCTTCTTAAGAAGGGAGGGGGGATGGGGAAGGAGGAAGGGAGAGTATTTGGAACTCAAAGTTTCAAAAACGAATGTTAAAAATTGTTTTTGCATGTAACTAGTGAACAATAAAATACTAAATAAAATTTTTTCACAAAATTCCTTTTGTGAAAGGAATCGAGTTTATAGTAAATCCTTAGTGATATTGAGATGATGTTGACCTGTGTTCAGAATTCATCGTCACTTAGAAATTCATGCAGATGTATTAAGGAAATAAATCATGTAAACAAGAATAAATATTTAAACAATTTTTAAGCTCTCATACCAAACTTTACAAGCAATTTTGAAGGAACACCACAATAAAATAAAATAAATGTGTTAATTACCAACCAATCTTGTTATGCTATGTGATTAAAAATAATACACTTAAAATATAATGTACTTAAAAGCATTTTTCTTAAAACATTCTAAAATGCAGACTATTGAGTAGTCCATGCAGGCCTGCTTTCATCTTTATTGATGGAAGCTTTATTCTATAATACTGAGGAATATTCAAGTTTTACTGAAAAATTATAATTTCTTTGACCTAATAAAAAAAATAAGTCTTCAACATTAAATAAGCCAAAGAACAGAAGGCACTAATGATTGCCTGAATAGCTAGAGTAGTGAAAAGAGAAGTAAGACAAGTGGGCCTAGGTTCAATGGAGCCAATAAAATGAAAATATTTTATTTTCTTTTCCAAAGAACATTTCTTTTAACTTCCTATTTCCTTCTTCAAAGCATTTGTGATGTTTTCATTTCCAGTGAACAATTAGGAATTTTATTTTTAATTGAAGTATAGTATCTTAAGTATTGTCACTGGTCTTTCTAGCTTTCAACACATATTTCAGCACTGCTTTTCTATTAAAGTGGTTTGTTCTAATTTGCAAGTATCAATTAAGGGAGTCTTCCTTTATATTTTTCAACATATTAGCAAGTTTTCTCAGTAAAGATATCTATTAAAAAACCCAATTTGTGTCTATGGAAATTCCTAAGAAAAAATAGTATAGCGTATAAATATTCAGCTTAATGCATATATAAAAATTGTCACCTCTTTTCTTTAAGAAGAAGAAAAATCACAATCAAGTAACACTTAATTACTTTCTTTGACTTAAATGGTGCTGATTCTTTTGTTTACTATTCCTTACTAAATTAAATACATAGAAATTTATATAATTTAAATAAAAATAAATGTATTTATTTAAATACATAGGTAATATACATATCTAAATGTTTAAAAAAGTTACTTGCTTACCATAGAATGTCAGGTAGCCAAAAAATGCAGTCATGAGATACAGAAAACACATGGACAAAATGGAAACATTGGTAACAATCTTCATATTTTTCAATGAACGTCTGTTAAAAAATTTTTGAAGCATTAAAAAGTATGTGCATGGTATTTGTTCAATGGTATTAACATTGTAGAACATGTACTTAAATTCCAGAAAAAGTAATTAATGTTTTTCCATAAACTTAGAGTAAAGATTCACAGATGGAATCACCTAGGTATTTATTTGCAAATTCAGGTAAATGCAAAAACTTATATCTGATTTCCCATAGTGTATCTATATTGATTAGATATTTTAAAATGTCTAGTGTGGTTATTGTGAGAAAAAGAACCCATGATACTAGCAATCTCCTATGTGAACTTTTCCTTTTTTTTTAAAGGGCTTTATTTGGGGATCTGAAAGTACTGTTTTAATATTTATATTTGATAGTAATTTTTTGTGTAAAAAACTGGCATAATACATTCAAAATGTTCTTCTACAATTCCCAGTAGAGATCAATGAGAGTTGGAACTCCTTTTTTTTTTTTTTTTTTTGAAGATTCTTGTAAAAAGATATTCCTGGTACTCCAGATAGTCTCCACAACAATGGCTAGAAAGCTTTAAAGTTTCCCTAATGATTCAGGGCAATTTCTACTGCAAATATGACTCTGTTGTTGTTGTGTGCCCTAAAATTTACTAGACTGCCCAAATACACATTTCTGTCTTTTGAGAAAATGGCAAACTTGGCAAATTGGTAAGTCACAAATATTTGGAGGACAATTACAAAGGATGTGCCAAAATCAAAGTCCACATTGAAGAAAAACAGAAGAAACTAAAATTTTTAGTTTGAGCATTTTTTTTTGAAAGTCAAGGGCACACCTGAATTTAAATCACAGAAAAAAAGTAGGGTTGTTCCATATATGTTTCAAAAGTTGAAAGAAAAATTTCATTGAAAAATATCAGAGTACATTTTCTGCCAAATTTATGGCAACTTATTTTTTTACTTTCTTGAGAACTTATAATGAAGAAAAGATTCATGTGTAATATTGCTGCCACAACACTATAATACCTAGGTACTTTTACATATCAAACTAGAAAAAGAATATATGAGAACTCATAATTCTCAAATGGAAAGGCAATTGGTGATAGTAGCATGGCAGAATCTGTTATACAGTTCAGGGTTGGAAATATTATTTTTTCTATTGCTATGCCTTATGTTTATTGTTCAGTTGGTGAAGTACTGGAAAATAGTTCTAATTATATTAGCATATTTAGACATTAAGTTTAATAAATACCTCTGCAGATTTATGAAACAAACATGAGTAACTTACAGAATCACAATCCCTTAGCATTGGAAGGGACCTTAGAGGTTATTTATTTTTTTTCCTTAAAGGCTATTTAATCTATCTCCTTACCAACTAGATCAATGTTTAAAATAACATCCTTGACAACGACCATTTAGTATCTGTTAGAACTCCTTGATGTGTAGCAATACAAGGAACTTAATTCTCCAAAATCAATATAATTAAAACAAAAACCAAAAAACCTATGACCTACACACTTCAAATTTTTCCTATAGCCTCAACTCATGCATCCTACAGATTTTTTATTATTTTCATTTTCACATTTCACTGAAACAGTAGCAAGGGGAAGTAGCACTGCAAAGAAATTGTATTTCCAAGGAAAACTATTTAGTCATAAAAATTAAATTACATGTCTTACTCTTTAAGATCTTTGTAAACTGGAAGGACTGCTTGATGGCACACATATGCAAAGGCAATAGTGGGTAAAGCATAAACACTCTGAGAGAAAAGAAGTTAATATATTAGGTAAAGTCATTTTTTTCCCACACAAATTATGTAGCTTTGATTTTCTGGGGTTCTCATTTTATTTCTCACCCTTTCCAAGGCTCTTAAGTTATTATTCGGAAGTATTTGATCTACTTAACATCAGTATCTCTTTCAAGAAAGTTAATCTATCATGAAGTTTTTTTCATATAGACTTTGATGTTAAAATTGAGCAAGGTAATTTCTGTGCAGGTGTATATTTGTGTATAAATATGCACATAGATTTTATCTTGTACTATTTTAACACTAAAGTCTATATGAAAAAATATGTACTAACTAAAGGAAATTTTTAGAATAAAACATTTCAAGATATTATGACATTCTTTCATTCCTTTTATGTCTTATGGCTCTTATCCTATTATTATCTTTTTTTTTAATTTTTGACCATGTAGCATTTCACCGAATAAAAACTCAAGATTTCTCAGTCTACCTTTCTGTTTAAAAAAAAAAAGAACATCCAGCATTTAACAAAAGATATTACTAAGAATTCAGTTTGGAATCCACTTTCTAGTTACATAGGAGGAAATTAAAACTGTGCCTATACACTAACAAAACAATTTGTAGATTTGGCTAATTCATGGAAGCAACAAATCAACTCAATGAAAAAATTAGTCAAATTGAGTTTCATCCTGAATTGCTGATTGGTTGATGAAATTCAGACACCTCAAACAGTCGTATCTTGAATGATAAATACAACCCAAATCATGGATAATTTAAATTAAGACTGTAGAGACACCAGTTCTAAGGGTTTAGAAAAACAAAAAGGGCAAACATAAGAAACAAAAACATGAAGAATTAATTCAGAAAAGTACATGAAGACTTACATGAACTAATGCCAGAGGACCCAAAAAGCAGTATACAAAATAATTACCACAATGTGAATGAAAATAACACAAAAAGAAGGAAAAGAAAAAGAGAGGAAAGAAGAAAGAAAACACTACACAATTTTCATGGCTGCAAGACATTGCATATACTATTTGACTCAGTTGATTTATTGATTACACTTACTGAACTGCCTTTTTTTCTCTTTCTTTTTTATTCTTTATTGCAAGGGATAGCTAAATTTAGATTAAGAAACACTGGGTAGGGAAACAGGGAGATATATATATGGAAACAAAAGATAAAATTTTTCTAAACAAAACAATGGCACATCACAGACGTTGGTCATCTGTCATTATTCTCATGGGATTTATCTTCAAAATGCTGCTGCTCAGGTTCCTTATCACACAACACCAAAATGCTTCGTCTGTGTTAGCTCTGATGATTTCATTGAGCACCTTCTGAATGCCACACATACTCATTCAATTCTTCACTCTGATATAATTGAGTTTGTAGTTTTTAGGTTGAAAATCCTTTAGTAATAATCACTCATTGTTAGATGATACTCAAAATTTGTACACCACTTTCCTTAAAACAGCTCTGTGAGATTAGGAATTCAAATACTGCTATCCCTATTTTATAGATGATGAAACAACTTCAGAGAGATCAAGCAACTTGCCCATCCACCAATGTCACCATTTAGATTGCAGAATAAATCTTTTGACATTAGGACAATTGTGCTCACCACCACACCCTGAATCTTTCCAGTATCCTTTCTCCATCAACCTAAGTGCTTAGCAGAAAGAGAGGAAAAGGGAACTGCCCACACCTCCAAACAATTTTACAAGGAGTTGATTAATAATGTTAATAATAATTAATACAAAATAAATTTTATATTAAAAAACATACCTTAAAGTTGAGCACAATGTATCTTGATGTACACATTTCCTTAATTGTTGCATTAGAAAGTGTTGATTCATCTATTCCTGGCATGGGGCAACTTAATTTAAATTTCTCATAGATAATCTTTAATTACATAAAACAAGAAATGTGGTAGATTATATTTTATAAAGCAAGAATAGTTATTAAATGGAACTGTCATGGAAACTTCAATCCAATTCTTTCAACAAAAACTTACCACTATGAGAAAGAAAAGCATGCATGTTAAAGAAAGTCCACTGGTATATCCAATAATCCCTAAATGAAACAATAGTTAAAAAATTACTATTATGTCATTTCTCACCTTTCTTCATGCACTTTTTAGTTCAGAATTCCAAAATGTAGCTGAAGTTCTAACGTTACACATGTCTGCCAAATAATCACAGGAACTATCAAATGTATTATTTCATAATACTACCTTATTAAGCAGAAATTAAGACACTAATCTCAAACATTGAAATATGGGTTTATAATGAATCCAATTCTTCCTCTACACTGAGGAGCATGGATTTCCAAACCTATATGAGAAAGAAAGTCCCTAAAGATTGGGCCAAAGATCTTGGTTATTTGTCCTGTAGTTGAAGATCTATGTTCAGATCAATCTGTCTAAGAAATTTTTGTTAAGACACTTATTTGCCAATCCGGGTTACATTCAAAGAGAAAGAGCAAATTGTTAGGGACCAACCTGATCACAGTGGACTGCCTGGTTATTTCTAGACATTTTTTTTTCTTTTGAGAGCAGTTTCAGCTATCAAGAAGCATTATCAGTTATCATTTGGAAGTTACTCCACTCTCTCCAACTTCAGGAAGAAAAATTCCCTCTGCTGGTCCCTCAGCCCCAACACATAAATGCATAAAAAAGAACCCTGAGGATTGGAGACCTGGGCAGCACTAAGTTTTATCTTCTTGAAGATATTTTGACATAATAGATATGGGAAATATTTCTCAGTAAAACAAGTCATAAAATTTTTTAGCAACTTTGGACAGATAGTCAAGAATTAAAAAAAATTAAAAGTTATCTATAGTCATATGAAAAAATGCTCTAAATCACTATTGATTAGAGGAATACAAATCAAAACAACTCTGAGGTACCACATCACACTTATCAGATTGGCCAATATGACAAAACAGGAAAATGATAAATGTTGGAGAAGATGTGGGAAAATTGGAACACTAATGCATTGTTGGTGGAGTTGTGAAATGATCCAACCATTTTGGAGAGCAATTTGGAACTATGCTCAAAGGGCTATAAAAATGTGCCTACCCTTTGATCCAGCAATAGCACTTCTAGGGCTGTATCCCAAAGAGATCATAACAATGGGAAAAGGACCCACATGTACAAAAATATTTATAGCAGCTCTTTTGTGGTGACAAAGAATTGGAAATTGAGGGAATGTCCATCAATTAGGGAATGGTTGAACAAGTTGTGGTATATAAACGTAATGGAATACTATTGTACTATAATATAAGAAATGATGAGCAGGCAGACTTCAGAAAAACCTGGAAAGACTTCTATGGACTGATGCTGAGTGAAGTGAACAGAACCAGAAGAATGTTGTACACAGTAACAGCAACACTGTGTGATGACTAAATTTCATAGACTTGGCTGTTCTCAGCAATACAAGGATCTAAGACATCTACAAAAGTCTCATGATGGAAAATGCTATCCATGTGCAAAGAAAGAACAAAGGAGTTTGAATGCATACTATTTGCTTTTTTTTCTTTCTGTTTTGTTTTGTTTCCTCTTACTTGTGGTTCTTCCTATTGGTTCTAGTTCTTTCTTACAACATGACTAATATGAAAATATGTTTAATAGGAATGTATATGTATAGCCTATATCAGATTATGCACCGTCTTGGGGATGGAGAGGGGGAAGGAAGGGGAGAAAAATTTAAAACTCAAAAGCTTATGGAAGTGATTGTTGATAACTCAAAATAAATTAATAAAAAATAAAAAAATAAAAAACAAACAAAAACCAATTTGAGAAGATGAATCTTAAATACCACAACTCAGACATTGATTGCACAGCTTTTGTGCTACCTGACTTTGCCTGCCTGAGTGATATGTGAAATCAGAATATAATGGAGAGGATTTCTGGGAAGATGGCAGATTAGGTCAGAAAATTGCTAGCACTCAAGATTTTTCCCCAAAAAAAGAAATGAAATAGAGCTTCAGGGAGAATGTAGAATGGTAAAAATAAATAAGAGTAAGGGCAGAACAAAGGTCCTCCTGGGACAATTGGAGAAGATCTGAAGAAAAGGTTCAGGATGAGGTTTGGTTCCTGTGAAGAGTGAATACCTCCAGCCTAGGTCATAAATCCACTTAAACAATAAGCAGCAAGCCCTGGGGTTAACTGGGTTGGGAGGCTAACTCAGCCCCAACCACAGGAACTTTCACCCCTGGGACAGTGAAGGGAGTTGGGCATCTGAGCTGGGGAAAATTGAGAGAACCTCTGCTGACAAGGAACACCAGACCCAGCTGTGCTGCGGAGATGCAGACTGGGGTGAGAAGGAACCAGCTCACACCTGGTGAGTGCAGAAGCTTTGGGGCAGGAGGCCATTTGCTGTGGGCACTTACTTACTGTGGGCTGGAGGTCTTGATTTGGGTTCAAGGTTAGAGGGGAGAACTGAAAGAGGATCTTAGGCCAGGGGTATCATCCCCTATATCCCAGAACTAGAGGTGATTACAAAAACTAAACTATTACCAAAAAATGTACAAGCAAAAGAGAAAGAATACAACTATAGAGAGTTACTATGAGAATAGAGAAAATCAGGGTTCATCTTCAGAGGAGGATACTGAAACAAAGAAACCCTCTTCTACCCCAAAGAGTACTGTCAAATGGTCACGTGTCCAAAAAGAATTCATAGAAGAACTTAAAAAAAAGACTTTAAAAATCAAATGAGAGAGATTGAGGAAAAACTTTTTAAAAAATCCAAGAAAAACAAGATTATGAAAAGAAAGTCGACCAATTAGAAAAGGAGATCCAGAATCTTAAGGAAGAAAATGACTCCTTGAAAATTAGAATTGGACAAAGGGAAGCCAGTGAAGTTATAAGAGATCAAGAAATAATAAAACAAAACACAAAGAATGAAAAAAATAGAAGAGAATGTGAAACATCTCATAAGGGGTCTCAATAAGGACAGACCATTTACCTTTTACATATGTAAAATGTAAAACGTGTATCTAAGATTGTTATTGGTAATTGGGTGGTTCATAAGAAATATTGGGGTAGACCTGAGCATGATATAACTTCAAAAAGTAAAACTGTTAAGGAAGAGCTAAACGAGTCATTATCTTATACAAATGAGGTGTGAGAAGAAGAATGGATACAGAGGAATTAGATGGGGGACTAAGGCTGTTAGTTCTGGAAACCTACTTTCATTGGGAATAGATTCAAGAGGGAGCAATATATATATACATCTAGAGGAATATAAAAGTCTTCTAAATTTAGAAAGAATAAAATGCTAAAGGGATAGAGAGCGGGGAGAAGATAAAGGAGGGATCTGTAGAGGAGAGAGCGAAGGAATTGGTCAAAGGAGCATATAAAAGGGTATTTAGATTCATGGGAATAGGTGGATAAGGGAGGAATCCTTGGAGGTGGGGTAAGTTAAGTAATAGGAGGGCAAGGTATGGGTAGAAGTAAAGTAGAGGAGTCAGGAAGGACAGGAAATAAGAGATGCACACAAACATAAAAATAAAGATTAGGAGTAGAATCTGTTAGGGACAGTATATGTTTATATATGTATGTATGTATGTGTATGTATACATTTATGTGTATTTCTGTATTTATATATAAACATATTCATGCTTAATGCTTGGGGGAAGGAAGAAGGGAAAAGAACAAAGTAAAAAGCATACAGCAGAGAACAAAAGAATACAAGGAAACAAAGAAAAGATGAACAGCTCTCATCACAATGTGTAGTATTTATTATATAGGCTTTATTGAAATGGAAATTTATTGCTGTATATTTTGAATACTCTGTTATGGTCTGCTGTATACATGATGTTTTTTCTTTTCTTATTTTATATTTAAGTTTTAATATTTAAGTTTATAATATGTTTCTTTTTTTCTCATTATGTATTAAAGTTTTAGTATGTAAGTCTAAAATAAAAAAAGATAAAAAAGAAATCAGAACAGAATGCTGCTGCCCCTCTAAGGGGCTTCAAATCACAACTGCTCATTACCTGGTGCTCTTCTCACTGCCTCTGAAAGCAATAACTAGAACTTAGTCTCTCTTCTGGACAAAATTCTACCCCTCTGCCCAGTATTCTACTGAGCAATTGTTATCAAACTTAAGATATGCTTAAGGCCCTTTATTCCATACTCTAGTGGAGGCAGCAATGGGAGGGAGGAAGGTAGAGTGGGGAGAGTGCAAAGTGTCTACCTGTCTTTGTCTCTGTTGAGTTTGGCCAATGACAGTTGATTAATATTGATCACTTTTTTAAATAGAATGCTACTTCTCTCCTCTAAAATCCCTCTCAATAAACAGTGCAATTACAACTGGAAAAAATGGGGAAAAATAAAATAAATGAGTGCTTTAAAGGTAAGTCATAGAAGGAGATTTAATAGAGTAGTATAAGAGATACAAAACCTTACCCAAGCAAGAGACTGTTTGAATATTTGAATGGACCTAAGAGAAGTTAATGACTCCATGAGAAAACAAGTCAATGAGTCAGTTAAGTAAGAAATATTAAAAACAAAGTCAAAAGACTGAAAAAAGGAGAATATGAAAGGCATCTCATGTAAGAAACATCTGACCTGAAAATAAAAAAAATCAACTAAAGATAATTTAAGAATCATTGGACTACCTGAAAGCCAGGGTCAAAAAGAACTTGGACATTATATTTCAAGAGAACAAGAAAGAAAACTGCCAAGAGCTATTAGAACTAGAGGGAAAAGTAAAAACAGAAAAAATACACTGGTCACTTCCTGAAAGAAAATCCAAAATGAAAACTCCCAGAAACTTCACAGTCACAATCCAGAGCTTCCAGGTCAAAGAAGAAGCACTATGATCAGATCCAAGCTCTGAGGAGCTATTGAGTATCACAGAAGATTTAATAAAAAAAAAGGGGGGGTGCAGCTGGGTGATGCAGTGGATAGAGCACTGGCCTTGGAGTCGGGAGGACCTGAGTTCAAATCCAGCCTCAGACCAAACACTTGACACTTACTAGCTGTGTGACCCTGGGCAAGTCACTTAACACCAATTGCCTAAAAATTTTTTAAAAATTTAAAAAAAAGACAATAAAAAAGGAGTGAA